ACTAGTTCTGGATTTTAAACACTTTGCTGTGCATCAAACTCAAAAGCAGTCCAAGAGTACAAACTTGTAGATTACCATAGCTACACCATTTACAGAGAGTACATATTACAAGACCTGGCTCCCTATATAGAAACCAAAAATTTTCTCCTCACAATAAACATCCACACCTTGGGAAGCATCACACAGTGCTGGAGGATATCGAAAAGATGTGAAAACTTGTATAGCAGCAGCTGACACCATGTTTTGGACCTTTCAACAGCCCCTGTAGAGTCATTGTGACATCAAGCTTGCTACAAAGCCTGGGATCTTCAGAACCACAGTTATACCAACTCTATTGTATGGCAGTGAAATGTGGGGCTGAGGAAGGCTGAAAAGCATTGGACTGACATTTTCAGTTCTCCCTTCACCTTCATCAGCTTTTCCACGGTAACTGGCAGGGCAAGATCAGCAATGAGCATATTCATAGCCGAACCTAGCAACAACCTCCATCAGTACTGGTTCAATTTCAGTGGGTTCCTAGGTATGGATATATCATTAAGATAGAAGACCAACAAATTACAAAGCATGCTACACAAATGGTGATCATGTGGTCACCAAAAACTTCAGTGGTGATAAAATTGCCAATTATGGCTGTAGGCTGAATCTCCAGCCAGACCGTCTTAACAACCCAGCTACAGATGGATCCAGGTTGTGCTGTGTCCCTTTTAGAGGGATCAGGGCCAAGTTCCTTGTGACCAACAGCGTTCTCAAAACACAGGGTTAACGGAGTCCAATGAGAGACACCTGTAGCTAGTTAGGTCATTACTAGTCCCCGCTGGGGTCAACTAGGCATGGTGGTTAAAAGAAAAAGGGGTGAATACAGACAGGAGACTTGCAGGCTCTGTGGCTGAGAAAGGAAGGCTGCCTGAGTAGGGAGACCTAGGCAGTGACAATCCAAATGGGACTGCGTGAGGTAGGCCTGTCTCAAAAGGGTTCCAGGCCGGAAGAAATGGAAACAGGTTGCAAGGGAATCAGAGCAGTCTGGTAAAATGGCTCAAACTGGAGAGGACTTTGGGGAATGTGCCTGTGGATGAGAGAAGGTCAGAAAGTATGGCACCTGAGAGAAAGAGATTGCCAGGACTTCACAGCACATGAAACTGTTTTCCTGTTTTGTTTTAAAGCCTTTCTGTTGGCCTGTGTTTTGGGGCCTGAGAGACCTGGAGTACCCCAATAAAGAAAACCCTATTTGGACTGGCTGAGTAAAGGAATGTGTGAAGGCATGACAGAGCAGCTGGGCGTGACAGCCATTATGGGGCACCAGGGAGCTGGCTTACCCCTGACAAGTAGTGTAGAATAGTTACAAGGTTGATCTACAAGAAGCCTACATATCTTTGGGATTTGCCATAATGGTGATAACAATGAATTTGAACATACAAATGAAGCAGGGTAAATTACAGGTATTACTGACCAACATTTTTTATATTTATGAACATATTTTCCAATCAATGCAAGTTTCTAACTCTCCATCAACACTAAGGTAAATTAAATATATCTAAGAGAGACTAGACCTCAAAAATCACATACAAACTATGGAGTGAATTTGACACTAAACTTGAGAGAGGCTCCATGTTCTGACCTTCTTGACCGAAGTAAAAGAGCCACAGAACCAAACATTAAAACAAGCCCAAGAGGGTATGAATTTAAAAAAAAAAAAAAAAAAACCAGTGAGTCCAGCTGAGTGATCTAATGATAGACCAAGATGTCACTATAAGGAAAGGGAATTCAAGACCTCACCTCACTCTTCCACTTCCAGGCGTTCACTCCTTCACTTCCAGAATAGGAATACTGAGTAGAAAAGCAAGCTCTGTACCAGATGGGACAAGGAATTGCTTCATATACCTTTGCAGTGATCCCTCTCAACAGTTCAAGAGCAACAATGATGAGCTCCAAAGAGAGCCACAGACAGCTTTCCTCAGCTAAAAGGACAGCAACAATGATTTGGGGATCTTTCTTTTAAAGAAAAAATTGGGATCGCAAGAGTCTGGCCTTAACCCTGAAGGACAAAAAGAAAGTCTACATTTCAAGCATATTCTTTTAAACTTTTCAATTGAACTTCATTCTCTGCTTACAATTCTCTATAGCAGATTTAAAGTTTGATTGCTGCAAATAATGCAGCAAAACCAAAAGCTACAATGTATTAAAATAAAAAAATCTTTTTCAAAAGCTAACATGTGACCTTAAGAGCCCTTCAATGCCAATGATACAGGGCCCATTATACTGTAACTAGTATTAGGCCTGACATCCTGACTACCCCCAAAACATTGTTGTCATAATGTGTATCCAGGACATATCATGTAAGGTATCAGATGTAAACTGGTGATGTGCTGGTCAGGAATATCACTGACTGATGTGTGTATAGGTTGTGTATAAAGAGTTATATGTGTGTGCTGGAAATATGTTCTTAAAATGTATTTTGGAGGCAGTGCATAAGCCAAGTTTGCCCTAGACAAAGGAATGTGGATTTACCTTTCTTACTGGCTTGATCACAAGCAGAGGACAATGAAAGCACATTTACATGTAAGGTAAACACAGCAATAAAGCTAATAATTGGCAGAGGAAACACCTTATTAAGCATGCCAGAGATCAGAATTTGAGGCAAAGACAATGGACTTTGGGAAATAAAAGGGGAGCAAAAAGACATTCTAGCTATCCATCACTTAGGGAACAAAGGGGACAGCACCTTCTGATTCTGTGAACATTGGATCTTTTGGCCTGGAGGGCTAGAGATGCTGGTAACTTGAAATAATGAGAAAACTGCTTAGGCAAAGACTGTAACTTGCTAAAATTAAGTTTTAGTCACTAGAAACTGTGTTTTGTTTTGTTTGTAACCAGACCTGTCTCTTTTATTCTTGCTTAGTATCACTTAAATCTCTGTTCTTTATTCACAAAGTTATTAGTTTTACTAAAAAGAAAAGGAGTACTTGTGGCACCTTAGAGACTAACCAATTTATTTGAGCATAAGCTTTCGTGAGCTACAGCTCACTTCATCGGATGCAGCTCATGAAAGCTTATGCTCAAATAAATTGGTTAGTCTCTAAGGTGCCACAAGTACTCCTTTTCTTTTTGCGAATACAGACTAACACGGCTGTTACTCTGAAACCTGTCATTAGTTTTACTGAAAACCATCTCCATTCTGTATATTGAAGTAAAGAGTGATTCCTCAGCTAACCTAATAGGCTGATGTGTACACAGTCTCTTTGGAAGCAACACAGTTAATTTCTGTGAATTTCCAATGAGAGGGACTGGACATTGCAGAGAGATGACTCTGGGGAACTCAGGAAAGGGGGGGATTCACTGATTATTACTTGCAAGGCAAGGTTAAAACTGACAGTGTCTTAAAGAGCTTGCTGGTCAGGTCGATAGACTGATGTGATATGGAGCAGACACAAAGTTTAAGTCCCAGGAAAGCTTTCTCTTGCTGAGGCAGAAAGGTAACGAATCATGCTCTGTGTGTGTGCGTGAGAAATGTAACACTCTGCAAAGTCTACTTCTACTCCCATGCTGTTGAGGAAGAGTGCCACAAGACAGTATCAGTTGTGTTTTATATCATAAACAAACTAGGGAAACACAAACTAGATGGAGCTACTATAAGGTGGGTGCATAACTGGTTGGAAAACCATTCCCAGAGAGTAGTTATCAGTAGTTCACAGTCAAACTGGAAGAACATATCAAGTAGGCTCCCACAGGGATTGGTCCTAGGTGCAGTTCTGTTCAGTATTTTCATCAATGATTTAGATAATAGAATAGAGAGTACACTTATAAAGTCTGTGGACAATACCAAGCTGGGAGGCATTGCAAATGCTTTGGAGGACAGGATTAAAGTTCAAAATGATCTGGACAAACTGGAGAAATGGTCTGAAGTAAATACGATGAAATTCAATAAGGACAAATGCAAAGTATTCACTTAGGAAGGAACAACCAATTGCACACATACAAATGGGAAATGACTGCCTTGGAAGGAGTACTGCAGAAAGGGATCTGGGGGTCATAGTGGATCTCAAGCTAAATATGAGTCAACAGTTAACACTGTTACAAAAAAAGCAAACATCATTCTGGGATGTATTAGCAGGAGTGTTGTAAGCAAGACATGAGAAGTAATTCTTCCACTCTTCTCCTTGGTGATATGGCCTCAACTGGAGTTTTGTGTTGAGTTCTGGGCGCTACATTTCAGGAAAGATGTGGACAAATTGGAGAAAGTCCAGAGGTGAGCGACAAAATGATCATAGGTCTAGAAAGCATGAGTTATGAGAGAAGATTGAAAAAATTGGGTTTGTTTAGTCTGGAAAAGAGAAGATTGAGTCGGAACATGATACATTTTCAAGTAGATAAAAGATTGTTACAAAGGGGAGGGAGAAAAAAGTATTCTCTTTAACCTCTGAGGATAGGACAAGAAGTAATGGGCTTAAATTGCAGTAAGGGAGGTTTACATTGGACATTAAAAAACTTCCTAACCGTCAGGGTAGTTAAGCACTGGAATACACTGCCGAGAGAGATTGTGGAATCTCTGTCACTGGAGGTTTTTAAGAGAAGGTTAGACAAACACCTGTCAGGGATGGTCTAGATCAGCGGTTCTCAAACAGTGGGTTGGGATCCCAAAGTGGGTCATGGCCCCCTTTGAATGGGGTTACCAGAGCTGGCTTAGACTTGCTGGGGCCCAAGACTGAAGCCAGAGCCCCACTACCTAGGGACAAAGCCAAAGCCCGAGGGTTTCAGCCTGGGTGGCAGGACTCAGGTTGCAGGCCTCTGGCCTGGGGCTGAAGTCCCTGAGCCTCAGCTTTGGCTCCCCTTCCCGGAGCTGTGGGGCTCGGACTTTGGCTCCCCACACCTAGAATTCTGGGGCTTGGGTGGGCTCAGGCTTTGGTCCCCCCCTCCTGAGGTCATGAAATAATTTTTATTGTCAGAAGGGGGTCCCTGTGTAATGAAGTTTGAGAACCCCTGGTCTAGATAATACTTAGTCCTACCTTGAGTGCAGGGGAATGGACTAGAAGACCTCTTGAGGTATCTTCCAGTCCTGTGATTCTATAAGTTATAAATAGGACAATAATGTTACTATTTTTACAAATTAACAATTAGATGTTGGCTTTGCAAGTCTGGAACAAAGAGTGTGGCGGTCTGGCCATCCTATCTATTTATCTTGTTCACTAAAACGTTTGCATATTCTTTGTTAACCTACAATATTACCTGCCAGTCAAAGGTGCACAAAACAAATATGTTGACTTGACAGATGGATCTCAGAGTGCTGTGTGTGCAGAACAGAGGCACGTAGCAAAATGCCATTATTGGTGTTTGGCAGTAGGCACTGCCCTATATGATATTTACAGCACATTACTGCACTACTACAACTTATTTTAGAAGAGTCAAAGAAAGGTATATGTAAGACTGGAAAACACCTGGCATTCTGAGTCTCACTATAAACAGGAAACAGTTAACTTTAATTAGATTATACTTTTGGTAAAACAGTATTAGCAAACACTACATACTTCGTGGTTCTGAGTTCATGCTATAAACATCCGAAAATAAGGGCTGGATTGTGAGATAATAACCTGCCCTGAGTAAGGGGCAGTGCATTGTTGCAGTGTCTGTGCAGCAGTCCAGGAGTAAGACTGTGATTAGAGTGTCACAATCTTCCTCCTGGCTTCCCTGCTGCTCCAAGAGGGGAGTTAACTGTGCAGTGTATACCTGGCACAGCGTACACTGCATGACATGCTGGTGCAGCTATGCCACTCCATGTTTTGGAGGTGGAGCTCTTTCCCACCAACTGCCCCCCAACCCTGACTCAAAAGACTGTTTGTGAAAGAGAGAGAGAGAAATGTAACACTCTGCAAAGTCTGCTTCTACTCCTGTGCTGCTACCCAGGATGCGAGTATCTCATTTACACCTCTGTGCCCTGTGCTGGTCAGGGCACAATTTAGTCCTACATAATTTCTTCCCAAATATTTTATTGCTCAATTAAATATAGAAAATCCATGATCTTTACAACCCATTACTTTACAGGAGTAGATAATTCTAAGCACATCTAATTGTTTTTAGGAATGCAGATGATATTTTAACATTAATCCCATTCTTATCATATTTGACATCACTCTGTCGGTTTTAATTTATGTATTTATAGGGCGCTCCTTTTGTATTTTGTAAATCTCAATGAAATTAACATTAATCAATTCTGAGAGATTGTCACCAACATAATTTTCACATGTACTGCTGAATTCTAAAGTATGTTATTGAAGTATGCTACTAAAACCAAAGCTATTAATAATAACCTAAAGCAATGATGCAAGTATAGAGAATAAAGAGAGCACACAGTGATCAGAATTCAAAAGAAACAAACATTTCAGGCTTATTATGCAAGCCTGTACAACTGGGAGATAAAGCAAACTGTCAGAGTAAAATTCAGAGTAACATTGCTCTTTTATGTATTTTATTGAGCTTTTAGCCATGTGCCTACCCCCATTTAAGAGTTGTATTCAATAAAAACACTGCTAGGCTTCCACAGTCTGAAGCCTCTTTCAAATCCTGAACAATCCAGTTCTGGAGCTTCACTGGGTTACTGTGTGGTGCAGTGGCTAGTCAGTGTTTCTATCAAACACAGATCTTTCAAGCTATGTAGCAACAGCTACCTTCCCAACACAAGATGAAAAATAATTTTATTATAGTGTATATTTTATAGCTTTACTAAAATACAAAGATCATAGTGTAAATTCCAAAGCTCAAATTGCACTGAATCTATTGAATGGCTCCATATTTTCCCACAGTATATCAGTGCACATGAAATAGCATACCAGTAATTTGTTACAAATGCATTATAGTTGTGACATTTTAAATAATACACAATAGGCCCCTGATGCCACAGGACTTAAAATAAAGAAGTGTCAACATGACTGTCACTTTCAGTACCTTTCCCAGATGCAGCATCTCACTTTTACTTTTTCTTTTCATTAAAAAAGTTAAACTATACTAGAGCCACTAATCAGTGAGTTGTGAGTATGTGTGTTGTTTTTTTTAATTAATGGTGAATGTTGACAACAGACAAAGAAGTATCAAAAGCCAAAGACAAGAAATATCTGTTTATAGACCAGCCTTAAAAAACAACAACAACAACAAAAATCACTACATAAGTATATATTTTTAAATTGGAAGTTTCTGATCTCTCACAAGTTTTTCCACTGGCATAACTGCCTGGATTGGAATCTCCAATTTTTGCCCACACATCAGAGGTTATATGTGCTTAAGTCATGTGTATGCCCATTTAAAATCTGAGTCTGAGTATGTTCCAGTCTTGCATAAAAGGACACTTCCCCCCAAAAAAAAATTGAGGGGAAAAGAAAAACAGATCATTTACATGTGAGATCTAAGACGTGACCTACATATCTCTGCAACTTTTGTATGGCATGATATGTAATTTTAGGGTAAATCTGCCTGAATATTTCATAGGCTGAATACCAGACCGGCAATGGAGTCTAGTCTAGATTTTAAAAAAAAATTACCACTTCAGAATAATGACAGAATTCATTTAAAAAGACAACTTTTTATACACTGATATAATCAAATCATAGGGTGGTTTTTTTGAAAGATAAATACTTAGATTAAATGGCTTGCAGAATTAAACATAGACAACAATTTAAAAATCTCAGTCCAGACTTTCAAAAATGTTTGTCTCTCTAAGTTTGATATGGTTACTCATCACAATGGTATTTGTCCCCCCTAAATAGGCACCTAAGTTCATATTTAACTTTAGGCACCCATTTTTGAAAATCTTAGAGTATTAATTTTATATAGTAAACATTCTAAATAGCACAAGAATCTACATTAAACAGACACTAAATTACACCCTCTGTATTTCTTTTTTAATGTCTTGATCACTAAATCAGATTAGGCAGATTATAAATACCTTTGTTATATCAGGGCATTACGGTATTCGGCTTTCAAAGTTCAAGTATTAGGAAAACTACCTTCACTTAGCACAATCTGAATGATGCTTGTTTCATAAACAGGATGAGGTTTATTTACCAAGGGAGTTGAGGCAGGTATCCTGTTGAGATTATGCCTGTCTTCAAACCTCTACTACACTAACTGAACTGTCACATTCAGTTACAAAATTTGAATTAGAACTTTTAAAAAAATTGTTTGATGTGGAGTTTATTTGTTAATATTAAGTGACAGCTTTGAATGTTATGATAGCAGATAAAAAGTTGAAGTCACTCCACGCTAACATGCTAACTAGAGGGAGATCATTTTTGGAGGTCATACAATGTGTTTCAGTTCTCCCAAACGCTTCATAATTAATTTATATATTTTCTTTGATATTCTTCCTAAGGTTTGTGGGAAACTTATTAAGCATATTCTACTGGGTAAAGCAGAAGAAAAATCAAAGAATATTTAAAGATAGAGGAGAAACAAGATCAGAGCCCTACCACCCACAACGATAATCAAGCCAGTAGCATGTCATCTACCTGCCAAGGGCTACATGTGAGTGCTGTTAACCAGACTTGCCAGGGATAACAAAGTGACTGTGTCCTGGTATAGTGAAGTTGTTGGGTTGCCCTCCAAGTTATATAAAGTATGATAGAATTACCTAGTAGTAGAAATAAAGATAGACAAAAGAGTATATAGGTATTGTAAAAAGGTATAAACATCAGTTCCATGCTGTTGAATTTCATTCTGTAACAAATGCAAGGCCAAAGTGCAAATTATTTCAGGCCAGTACAGGACAAAGAGTCTGTGCTGGAAAGTGATAAGAACTTTGCGGAAAGAATGCTATTCTTTAAAACAACACCCTGATGCTCTTCCCCCATGGGGGCCCTTGTCATGTCTATGTAAATCTTGGTATCCAAAGAGGGAAAAATAGGTAGTGGGATAAAACTTGTTAAATGAATCAAGAGTCACAGATTGTGTTGTTAAGTAAAAGAATGAATGATGAGTGCATGGAATTGAGAGTCTGAAGCAGGGAAATTGGTTAGTAAATGGTGCCAGCCTAATCCTAAGAATTTCAACCTTGATATCGATGTGTCGAAGAATATGCAAAGTGGAGATAACTGGATGACCCCCGGAGGGCAAACCAGAATCCACCCAAAACGCATCAAGGAAGAACGAGAAGATAACACCTAGCCATCATGAAGCCGTCATGGATGTACCACCTGCTGACTGAGCTGGTTGATGGTCATCTCATTTGTAAATTCAGCATGATGAAGCAACTTCCATAGACTTGTATTGAACCAGAGACCTATAAAAATTGGGTCCATGGACTGTGTTCTTTGAGTCTGGTTCTATGACCACCCTCCAGGAGCATCGGATGTGCATCTGACAACAACTCAGCTCCACTCTCGTGCCCAGACCCTGGCCAGTGACTTGGCACAAGGAACATCTAGGCTGGTAACTATAACAACCTCTATGTAGAACCTGTGTGTGAATGTCTGTGTGTGTGAATGGATCTATATAGAAATTGCATATGGGAATATTTTGTTGTATTTACAATAAACGTGGCAATTTGCCTTTTCCCTCTTACACTAATAAAAATGATACCAACAGGATCTTGTAACAAAGTTTGGGTTGGGGGGGAAGAGGAGAGAGCTTACCATGCTTACAGCTCTTCAGAAGAGCAGAAACATTTAGGCCATTCCATTAGAATTTAGACATTTCATCAAGAATGACACACTTAGGACTCCAAAGGCTGGGAATATGTGGTACATGAATTGCCACCCCCTTCTCACCTCTGTCAACACAAAGTTTTTCCTTTCTAGGAAAGTTTTTCCTTTCTAGTTTTTTTCCAGGTCAAGGAAAGGGTATAATGAGTGTATTGAAGTTTCTTATAGTTTTGATGTTTCTTAAACAATATTATTCTTTTGTCATTTTTCACGGTAATACACCAGTTAATTAAATTCACACAGGATGTATTTTTCTATGGACTGCTAAGGACTACATCAATTCTCAGATTAATGCATTAACAAAATCACAAGTATCTGAGTGTTGTAAGCAGGGCACAAGATAACAGAGAAGATTTAAGTCTCAGTATATGGATCTTC